TAAAATTTCTGGGATTGGTATATCAGGATGATTTTCTATACAGTATGTCCGATTTGATTCAAGTTGATCTTGTTGTTGAAACATTGTCAAAAATAAATATTCTGTCTTTACTTGTGGGTCACTGGGTATAGGTACAATATAATATTTCCGATTTCTTACAGATTGACTTGATGCAATGTTGATTTGTAGTCGGTCAAAGTCTGGATTTACTTCTAAAATGTCATCAATGATTTTTTCATGTATGTTTGTGAGATTTGCAGGCTGCATGAAAACTAAGATATGCTTATTTTCTTTGGTTAATATTTATTCATTAGAAAATTCGATTTTTGAATAATCAATTAATGATTTGGTTTTATACAGATGATTAAATCTGTGGTATTCTTGAGCAGCTTGTATCGCAATATCATCAACTTCTTCTGGGTTTAATTCAGGGTCGATGTCTTCCATTTCTGAAGGGGGTGCGGTGACAGTACGCTCTGAGTCTGTATCGTCATTTTCTCCATTCGAAGTTAAAATAGGATAGGAAAGTTTGTTTGTATTGAAAACTGAATTAGAAAATTGTGTTTTCTTCTGAAAGGTAATAATATCTTTCAAATGATCTACTTTAATCCGGGAAAGTGCGTCTGCGTTTTTAATATTTTCCAAATTATAATCTTCAATTGGTTCTAGTTTAATTTCCGAAATATGTACTGTTTTTTCAATTGCATTCATGTTGGGAATCGTAGTTAGGAATTTACCATTTTCATCAATTTTCACTAACGCATATGGTAAACGTACTTTTTCTATGTCCTGAGCTAACAGTATAGCTTCAGTATTCTTCAAATTGCATTTCAGTTTGCATACTTGTTCAGTACGAGGTTCTATTGAGATTGTATTTTGGATTGTTCGGTTATGTTGACAATTTTGATTTTGATTTGGATGTTCTTCTGTTTCATGTCCGGTTACTTTAAATAATGGTACAGTTTTGAAATTTGTTATCAACTGTTTGTTTTTCAAATCGATAACACAATCATAATGTTCCAAAAAGTCTGATCCTAATAGGCCATCAAATTCCATATCTATGTCCGCAATATAAACTTTATGAGTATCTTCATCGCAGAAAGGAATGAAGACTGATTCATTGATAGGTACTTTTTCTTCCGTTATTCCCTGGACTAACACATTTTCTTTTTGTCTGTTAAGATAATTTTCACAAACTTTGGGTTTGAAGATTGAAATTCCTGCTCCTGTGTCTATAAGGATTTTGAATTTGTTGGTAGCGTCTTTGATGTAGTATAGATTTTTTGAACTTACACTGAAAAGTTGAGTACTTACATAAATTTCTGGTCTGCTGAAATCACTTGTCGTTTTTTCTGGAGATTTAGTGACTGGACTTGAGTTTGAAGTTTGGTTACTGATGAGTCTGGTTTGTAAGGGGGATCGCCTAAACAGGGTGTTTCGTGAAAATTCTGTTCATTTTCAAAATTTCCTGTGGATTGGATACTCTGATTCGGTTCAGTTTGGTACTCGTTCTGATAAGAGTAATTGTCATTAGTCTGGTAGTCTTCGTATGAGAAGTTTTCTTGAGTGTCGTTTTGGCTTTGATTATAAACAGTATTATAATCTTCATTATTTACTTGATCTGGAAAGTATTCTTCGTTGAAGAGTTGTTCTTGGTTATTAGCTGTATAATAACCTGAATTATCAAAATCTTGATTATTAGCAGTATAATAATCCTGGTCGTCTTCAAAATAATATTCATAACTATCATTTGGATTGGAATTGAAATGATGCGCTCGTTGTTGTTGCTGCATTCTAAAATTTGGATTTCGCATAATTGTTGGGGGTCTGTTTTGAAAATTTGGATTTGGTCTGATTACTGATGTTCTGTTTTGTTGGGAATTTTGCGGTTGACTCTGTCTTGGAAAATTCTGTTGAAAATTCGGTCTTTGAAAATTCGATTGCTGTGCCGTAGAGACGTTTGGTCTTTGGAAATTCGAATTTGGTATATTTGGTCTGGAAAAAATATTAGGATTTGGGTAGGAATTTTGATAAAAGTTATTCGGTCTGAAATAATTCTGTTGCACTTGTCTTCTTTGTGAATTTCTGTCCATTGGTCGACGAATATGACTTTGATTTTGACTCGGAACGAAATTTGGGTTTCGTTTCTGGTTTTCAAAATAGGAAAGTTGTATTTCGCGTTTTATACGTACTACTGCTGTGACTATATCAGGCGGATTGCTTGCTCTGATAATACGTGCAATTTTTGGTTCAAGGCCGGTTAATAATGTGTTCAATGTCATGGATTCGATAAGCTTGATCTGAGAGTTCTTTTGTTCAAAACTCATACGCTGTTGTTTATTAACTGAGGCTAACATTTTGGCATTATGTGTCTGTAATCTCGAAACGAAATTTAATGCAGATTCATTAGGTAATTGTTTTAATCTTTGCAGGTCTTGAATGAGTGAATTTAGATCTCGGCTGTCTCCAAAATGTAACTCTAATAAATATCTGATTTCGCGCCAACTATCTGGATTTCGTGAATTTACTAGCTCGGCTGCTTTTCCTCTTAATTTGTTCTTGATATGGAGTGTTACTAAAAGTTTTTGATCCTCGATTGCCATTCCTTCAGCAATTGAGCATGAATTTAAAAATGTTGACAAAAATATTGGATTGCCATCGTATTCAGGAATTATTGAAAATATTTCTGACAATTTGTATGGTTCAATTGGATTTTGATCTGGTTCTGGAGTGTCAGGCATTTTGATTTGATTTTTGAATTTGCTTAAAATTAATTGAAATGACTAGACTTAGTTACGCAATGTTTTAAAGTAAACACTGAAAAACTGGGGCTGGTATTCGGGATATTATAACAGAACTGGACTTTGGTTACAATTCGTTCGTGACAATAACTCAAATACGGGATGATTCTTAAAGTTACTTACAATATTTGTTTCTTCATTTGTCGTTGCTTTGCTTCGGGGGATGAAATCCTTTAGTCTTCGTGAGCGATGCTACAGGATCGGGTTGAACTACTGCCGAAGAGACCGTCCTCAGATGAAATCCTTTATACTTCGTGAGCGTTGCTACAATAGTCCTCCAATGCTGCCGAAGAGACCGTCCTCCCGTGGGTTTCTTCTTGGTTCTTTCTTCTTTAAAGGCTTGGAAACCACCACGTTTTCGTGTTGTAGGAATCCTACCGACTGCGCCAATTTGTTATATCACTTCTCTCAAAATAGACTTTTTTAAAAAAACACCATATTATACAGGGTGATTTCATCACCAAAGATACAAGATATTAAATGAGTGTACGATTATGACTACAGTACGACTAACTAGCTTGTTTACAATTCTAGCTTTTATACTTGAGGAAAAACAATGAAATAGTGTGGCGAAGTTCTAGAAGCTGCTGAATTGAAGGCCTCGTCTTCTGCGCCACAAGGAGGTCTTTGTGGTGCCTGGTAAACACTGGATAGAGGTGACCTCTGGAGAACAATGGGGTCCTGTGGAGTCTTCATATAACATACATGTTTTGACAAAATCAATTGTTTTTAAACAATAAATACATTTACGGGCATTTTCACAAGGCAGCAATATACCTGTGTGTGAAGGATATAATCATAATTATACAAGTAACTATGTAGAAAGGGTGAACACGATTCAAAACGTGGAAAGAAGAAGAAGATTATATATATTATGAAATTATTAATATAATTTTAAAGGTCACCTTGAATATATTGGTTGGTATGTAATTCATATTGAAACTATTACCTGATTGAAAAGATTTCCTTTACTCAATAATTTCAAATATTACTTGAACATCGATGCTGGTGGAATATGTTGTCATTTTCTTATTCTATTTTATATACAGGGTGTTTCACAGGTAAAGGGAAATATTTCAGTGGTACATAGGGGTCATCAAGGTGGTTCCGAAAATACCATATTTGATAGGTCTTAGCGTCTTCATAACGAAGATACAGGGCGATTTATCGATTTCGAATAATTATTCATTCGTCTATGAGTATTGAACTACCCGATATATTCTCCTCAAGTGTGGTATGGATCTTAAACTTGAGACGTTGAATTTATTCACGTATCGAGCGGAGCGAAAATCCAGGTTCGGCTTCAGGAAAAATTTACATTAACTCGAAATATTAAAATAACACACTGTATGTAATAATTAACAGAATTCATCAAAGGAATCGTGAAGAGAAGGAAAAACTGAATCGAATTTGATGTTTTATTTCGAATAAATGTAAATTTTTCCTGAAGCCGAACCTGGACTTTCACTCCGCCCGATAGGTAAATAAATTCAACGTCCCAAGTATAAGCTCCATACCTATGTGGAGGAAAATATACTGGGTAATTCGATACTTATAAACGAATGAATAATCATTCGAAATCGACAAATCGCCCTGTATCTCCGTTATGAAGATTCTAAGACCTATCAAATATCGTATTTTCAGAACCACCTTGGTGACCCCTATGCACCATTGAGATATTTCCCTTCACCTGTGAAACACCCTGTATATATACAGTGTGACCCATTTAAGATGGAAGCACCCTTATAAAACTTACATTTTTCAACCGATTGGAATGATTTTTTTTTGTTAGGTAGATATTCAAAAAGTCTATGAGGACACCAAATATCATGAATAAATCTCCATTTCCAGGGCCAACTAATCTGATTTTTCAAGGTCAAAAATCTAAAAAAATTACTAGCGATTTTTTTAGAAAAAATCTGACTACACCACTGGATTTGTGACATTTTCAAATGGGTAACATGTAAATTACGTTGAAATGCGTCAATCAATAAAAAAGTTATAAAGGAATGAAATTTGAAAAATATGCCGTTTAATCAACGTTCTTCCCCAGGTCGCGAGTAAAAACAAGTGATGTAAACACCTTCGCAACTTTGGTTGGTTTGCCGAACGGTCGGCAGGCTAAACACTTCCATAAAAATGTGTTCAATTGTTATGATCAAATGTATGTCTTCACCTTGTTATTTGTGCTTCTTTCAGTGACTTGCGACTCACCTTTGTATATATTACCGCATTCCAAATCGGTTTTGATTGCTGCTATACAAAATGACACTGAATTTCTGTCAAATCGGTCTGTGATGGATTATTCGCTTCTGGTCGGTTTGGATTCGGAAAATAAGGAGTTAGTCCTTGGAATCATAGGTAAGAAATTTATATTTATTTATGATCAATCAATCAAAATATGATTCATCTTCACTTGAGAATGTAAATTCCTGTACAATGCTGGGTAGAGTAAAAAATAAAATGATGTTACGATTCGTCCAGGCTTGAGACTAATCATGTAACAAACACTACACTACTGCACGATAGAAAATTACATTTCGTCTATATATATTCACGATAAATACCCTCACTATCACTGTTCCATTATATCACTCTCACTTTCTGAATGAATTATCTCTTTTATTCCTGCCCCTGCATATCATTGTTTGCTACAAATGAACGAATGTAGATATCTAGTTTGATTCTGAAATACATTTTGAATTGCATATCGCTGAATTGGAGAGCAGTCTCCTCCAATAATGCTTCAACTTGAGGTAAAATATAATTTCCAATTCCATCCTCACTCTCCTCGAGAAATATTTTTTATACCATTCTCAAGGTAACCATAACATTGTTTTCAATAAACGTACTTACTCATCATCATTCTATATAGTTTCAATCAGAATTAAATTCAGGAAACGTCCAGTGAGGTTAGGAGAAAAAATATCACTTATTACAATGGAATCAAGAATAATTAGTATTGGGAATAATCCTTCTTGTTAATCAATTTCTAATTTGATGGAAAGGTGACAGATGACCAGTGACCTCTCAATAAGAACCATCAGCATTCGTTTATAACCGAACATTCGATCAGTTAGGTGATCACGTGATACCAATGAATCTGCATCTACAATTTTTAATTCTAGATTACATCAGGACTTTCACCTGGGATAAAAGATTGGAAACAATGGTGAAAAGAAGTGGCATTCTAGGTGGCCAAGGAAAATTGCCCACCATTGTTTCACCAGAAGAATATCAAAAACGGTTCATGGAAGCAATGCATCGATACTTTTTAGAAGTACCTGATCATTGGGCAGGTTTAGGTAAAGGTCTAGATTTGTAAGATGTGTGTTGATTCAGATTTTTATTTATATTATGATGTGAGTTTATAAGTTGTAGACCAATGTAATGATCTATGTAATATATTGTTGACTATTCCACTCTTGTTCTGGAGAACCGATCAGAATCGACTATTTTACGCTTTCTCCTGTATTACAGCGATATTTTTTGTCTACTGAAAATTATCGGACTTGCTCTACCAATACAGAAGCCGAATTGACCCACGTGTGACTAACCAAACACGTTTTTTAGCGATAAAACTTTTAACTACAGGGATTTCTGAATTATCATGAAATATCTGATTCAGCCATGAAATATTTATATGAATACAACTCGTCATACTATTATTCCTAGAAATATCCGTTGATTGACATTCTCCAACTTGCTGCTTCAATTTCGCGCATGACATCGTTCCAAAACTACTCGCCTACGTCTCGAAAGTTTTGATAAGCAATGTCTTTCGCGAAATTATTAGGAGACAAGCTGACGTGGCAAACGCTGAAATATTTCCGGCTAAATAGTTCATGGTATTGCATATGAGTAAGTATCGAAAAATTCTTTTTCAGAGATACAAGGTTCATTCATCAATATTGCACTAATAGTCCAAGGAAATCAGGATATTGATAGGGAATAATTTCATACTAAGGTATTAGTGTGGTTTCAGGTTCAGGTATACAGGGTTCCGCCGATTTGATAGGGGCAGTATTGCTATTTCCTAAACGGTAAGAGATAGAAAGTATATTAAATTAGACAAAAGTTGCGTAGTTTGAACATTTCCAATGTGACGTTTTGCAATTTGGAAAAATGTCGGACGTTCCTGAAATGTTTTGAAAAAACTGAAAATCACTTATTTCGTTTTTATTCATTTTCTTGGTTAATATTGGAGAAAGAAATTCGAAATTGTAAGTAAGCGGGTAATTAATCATGATAAAGAAGTTGGGATTGCCAGAAATATTCTATCTTCATTATTTTCAGAGATTTACCATGCAACTTTTGTTCTTCTTATGCGGGGGTCATATTTGTTTTTAATACCATTAAATATAGCTGACAATTACTTTCTCAGCCCTGTATAACATTTTGATATTTTCATATGAAACAGCGCCGGAAAACAGTTTTTATTTATTTTTGGTTAATATTGGAGAAATAAATTTTAAATTTACTGTGAGCAGGTAATTAATCATGATAAAGAAGTTTTAATTATCAGAAATTTCCTATCTTCATTATTTTCAGAGATTTGCCATGAAACTTTTGTTCTTATGCGGGAGTCATATTTGTTTTTTGTACCATATGAATATAGCTCAAAATTACCTTCAGAGCCATCTATAACATGTTGATATTTCCATAGTAAAAACATCTTTAAATGTGCTAGGCCATGATTTATTTATCTATTTAGGATTTTAGGTTGCATATAGTACAAAATACCAAAATAGCATCCACATTGTAGCTACGTGCTGAGGCAAGTTATACATCAGTTATATAGTAAGCGACGGAAATTTGAAGTACATGATGTGAAAGAAGATAGAAACATTAACAAGTCTTGATGAACAATACAAAAGATATACATAATGCGAGTAAAGATATTATATATTTAGTTATAGGAAACTATGATTGACGATTTCGAGTGAACTGATTTTTGAGAATCATTTTGAATCTTTTTTAAAAAGATTATGCATTCTATTCAGAGAAGAATGCTGTCTCACATTCGTTCTGCTGTACGAAATTGCAAATAAGTCCGTATTTCGGGAGGATCTATTAGGGATTCTGAAATTGATTTTAGACAAAAGATATGGCGAGTCTATTGGGGAATTCAGTATTTTATGAAACGTACATAGGTCTGTTACAACTCTCCTATCTGATAAGCTCAGTATATTATGTTGGGATCTGATGATACGGTAGTCGTGATCTTCGATAGTTGTGTGTGTTTTGAATGCGAGAGATATTAAAAATCTGTTTTGGACACTTTCAATTCGTTTTGTGTAAGTTGTATATTGAGTGTTCCAAATAACCGATAGTGAGATAAGCGCTTTGGAGTGATTAAAGTCCTTCGAGTTTCGGTTTATGAACCGAACCATTCTCTTAGCAGAATTTATCGTCCTTTCGATATGTACAACCATTTCTCGTCAAGGGTTACTCCCAAGTCTCTTATATTAGATACACGCTTCAGGTCCGAATTGTTAATTTGATACGTGAAATTTAATTTATTGAGTTTTCTAGTGAAGGATATGTTGAAACATTTCGATGCATTCAAAAAGAGTTGGTTCTTGCGACAGTATGTTTCGAGTCTGACGATGTCCTGTTGTATTTTGAGGCAGTCATCCAATGTTTCTATTTTGCGGTATATTTTTAAATCGTCAGCATAAAGCAGAATGTTGCAATGTTTGAAGCACATTTTTATGTTATTAATATGAATATTAAAAAATAGTGGACCGAGTTGACTGTCTTGAGGGACGCCAGATGGCACCTTGAAGGGATTTGATTTGTGACCAGAAACCGATACTCTACTTTGCCTGTCAGAAATATAAGATTCAGACCATTTGATGAGTGAGTTGCTCACACCTGCTTCAGAAAGTCTCTCTAGTAGTAATAGATAGTCGATTTTGTCGAAGGTTTTACTGAAGTCGGTGTTTATAGTGTCAATTTGAGACTTTTTGTCTATTTGCTCAGATACATACTCGGAAAAGCACAAAAGATTGGTTTCTAGCGAGCGTTTTGGAAGGAATCCGTGTTGCTCTTCTATAATGATATTTTTGACACACGGTAGGATTCGGTTATAGACGATTTTTTCGAGCATTTTACAAAACACACACAACTTGCTAATTAGATGGTAGTTTTTCACATCCTGTTTCACCGCTCTTGAAAATTGGAGTGATTTCAGCAATTTTACACATTTTTGGAAAAACTTTATTAAGAGATAAACTGAATATGATACTTAGTGGTTTGCTGAGATTTTCCATGCATCTTCTTACGAACATAGGGGGAATCCCGTCCGGGCCTGCACATTTATTGGTGTTTAATTCCCTAATTATATCAGTTATTTGGTCTTGTGTGACAGGATCCGTATGAATATCCCTGTTGTTAGGGTTGATGGTTTTCATATAGTTTGGTTGTACGAAAACACTACTGAAGTAGTTTGCAAACAAGTTGGAGACATCCGTGCCTCCATTAGCTGTAATATTATCGTATTCGACTGTGTGTGGAATAGAGATATTGTTTTTTCTCTTACTGGCGATGAATTTCCAAAACTTTCTGGAATGATGTTGAATTTCTGATTCTATACTCTCTACATAATTACTGTAGTCCGTTCTTATCAATCGTTTAGAGTGGGTACGAAGTTCGCAAAATCTGAAGGCATTTTGGTCATTGTATTTTTTGAATTTTTTATGTAATCTATTTTTTTCTTGGATTATTTTTATGGTTTCGTATTTAAAGTGAATTGGAAAACGACCTTTTATTTTTCGGAAAGGGACAAATTTCTGTATAGCGTCATTTATGATATTGTAGAAGACTACTACGATGATATCCATGTTGTTCCCAACTAATATAATTATGTTCCCAATCAATTTGTGAAAAGTGGTGATTGATGGAATCGAAATAAGCTTTATTGAAGTTATATATTTTTATGTCGGGCGTGGCAAGTGGTTTTGAGCAAGACATCCCCCATAAGAACTCTATGGCATGATGATTGTGGTTTTCTTCAACAAGGCAATCGGATGAACGTTTAACATTCAATATGAGGTTCTTGTTGCAGAAGATTGAATCGAGAATCTTGTTATTTTTATTATGTACTTGATTAAATTGCATGAAACAGTTATAAGAAAATGCATCAACAATCCCAGAAAACTTGTTTCCTATTTGAATGGGTTCGTAAAATACTTCATTATTGATAGGTTACCAACTTACAGAAGAGAGATTGAAGTCTCCGACGATTAGGGCAGCATTCTCCGGTAGGAGGTTTTCGTGTGAAAGAAGTTTACTTGAAAAACAAGTCATGGAATAATTACAATTGCGTGGAGTATAAACACAACACACTAAAACATTTTCACTTTTATTTTTCTCGATGGAAACCCAGATGTCTTCTGCTTCGGATGCTAGATCTGCACGACGTTTAGATTGATAAGTTGTTTTAACTGCAATCAGAGATCCTCATCCGTCTTGTTTTTCCGACGCAGAAGATTCGCGGTACCTGCGGTAAACTGAATAGTTGTGGTTGAAAAGTTCGTTTGGGAGAACGCTACTATTGATGTTTCGGTTGAACAAATTACGTCATAGTCATTTGCTGCTAGGTTATGATAGAATGTATTGGTCTTAGTACGGAGGCCTTGTGTGTTCTGGTAGTATATATGCAAATTTTCCGCCATTGTCTGAAACTATGATGATATTGAAGTAATAATAGGTTTGTTGCTTCATAGCTTCTCCAGGATGCTTGTATCATTCACGTAAATAATACGGGAGATGTCATCTCTGTGGATAAAAACCATTCCGTTTTTGGTCCACGAATATTTATATTTATTTTGTTTTGCCGCTAGTCTGGCTTCTTTGTACAGAATTTTGTTGTGTGTGTAGAGTGAGGTGCTCGTTGATGAAGAAGTTGTCTGATACTTCTTTAATTTCCATTTTTGGAGAGCCATTATCTCTCTTCATTCGTTTTTGTTTCGCGGCAGCAAGACATTTTTTTTTTTCGTTGCTTGAACCGAACCGGAGAATTATATTTTTAATTTTGTTGGTGGAATTTTTATACAGTTGAACACGGTGTAAATATTCGATTTTATCTGGTGTAGTTTCGAACTCGATGTAATTACATATTTTTTGTGGTGTTTAAGTTTTCATTTGTTTTTTCAGGGATTCCCTGGATTTCAATGTTGTTCAGACGACCTGTCTGGTCTAAATCATTCACTTTGGACTCCAAGTTCGCGATGTCCGTTTTCAATTTCGTGTTTTCTTTCAATAGTTTATCGGTAGCCCGCATCCATTCGTTTATCTTATTTAGTTTTTCAAGTCTGACACCTTGTCTGAGCAAAAGGAGACAGAGTTAGATAGGAAAACTTGCTGTTTGCGGAATGTGCGAAGCTCCTTAGTCATATTATCCATTGCGGCTAAGATA